TGGGATTAAGACGATAGTACCAAAGGACTGGGATAAGATGATAGTACCAAAGGACTAGGATAAGATGATAGTACCAAAGGACTAGGATAAGACGGTAGTACCTTAGGACTGGGATAAGACGATAGTACCAAAGGACTGGGATAAGACGATAGTACCAAAGGACTAGGATAAGACGGTAGTACCAAAGGACTGGGATAAGACGATAGTACCTTAGGACTCGGATAAGATGATAGTACCAAAGGACTGGGATAGAAGAACCAAAGAATCACCATGTGTAAATCTCTAGAAATGATCTAAATACACAAGCCAAAAGGTCACAATCTACATTCATTGTATACCGTATTTTAACCCACTAATTAAACACCAAATGCTGGTTTTCCACCTTAACCCATGACAAAATTGACAAAATCAAGAGTGTATCACTTATAGCAGGACCACACACCCTTCTCCTCTGCTGCCCCATCCCATTACACATCACAAGTATAATTGTCCAATCTCACATGCACCAGATCAGACAAATTTAAATTTCAAATAAATCTGATTTTTTCCTTGTGAGAGACAATATCCCAATTGAGTCCAAGTCCCTGCTTGACGATTCTTACCAACTGCAGTCAGGGGAGGGGGTGATGAACATAAATAAGAACACATACTGACCAGAAAGCATAACATAATTTACTGAAGGTGGGACAAACATATATGAGGTGGCATGTGATCCCTTTAATACACTCTTGGTATAACAAAAAAAGCTACTTAATATCTGAAAACAAAATTAATATTCTTCTTTCTCTTCAAATGAATTAGAAAAGTTTAAAATATAGAATATACACTTTCTGTCATGACATATTTTGATACAAGATAAACAAATATTGACGTCAAATAGATATGGACACCAAACTTACCAAGTTCTTGGGTGTCGATAGTTTCCGCAAGAGCCATCTTTTGCTGATCCAACTGCTCTTGTTCCTCCCTGAGCTGATGCTGTGCTAGTTCCAGTTGTTTGAGTCGTGTGGTTGTGACCTCCAGTTGTTCAACTAACTCTTGTTCATTTTCCTCCTTCTTTGTGAGTTGCTCTCTCAGAGACTCAACTGAGTGACCATCGGTCAGTTCTGGGTAGAGAGTAAAAATTTATTATTGTCAGAAATGTGAATTAAAAATCAAACCAATACCAGTACAATTCAGTACTTCTGGCAATGCTAAGTAAGGTATAAAAACTGAAATACACCCTACATGTAGCTGGCAATGCAGCTATAAAAAATTGTTCCTGTATGTGTTATGTAAGCATCTTGACCTATTGTTGTTGACAAATACACTGTTTTATTAGGTTTACAGGGAAGAAATTAAACACTGTTTAAAGTGTGTTAGATACATTTATTACATGTGATGACATTGGAAGGAAACAATGTGAGTATGTGTTAGGGAATGTACTGTGTAATTTATGTAATCAAACAGACTACAATTAAAACATGCTGTACATGTATATATCAATAAAATAAAAGCCACATATCTATGTATCCAGGTATATATAGGAAGTAAAATCTTTATTATTAACAGCTGACCATAGATCAAAACAATATGGCTGAACAGGATCTCTTATTTCATACAAACACAGTCAGTAAAATGGTGCAATGTTATCTCTATTTGATAAGGCTTCTCAGATCATATGTAAAACATCTTATTTCCTACCCCAGGATCCAGTTTAATTTGTTTAAAAACCTGACACAAACCATGTTCAGTAGGCAAATAAAAACTCCACATGAGATGAATGATTATGTTTACAGTCAATGACTTAAATTCCTTGAATATCACCTGTTATATCAGTTAGAGACATGTCAATTATTTAACTGTTAATTATAGCCATTAAACTAGTTCAATTGTCAACAGAAATTCATAGGAATTTATAAGAAAATTCATGCAGATCCAATTTATTGACTTCATGTCTATCTGCACAACAAAAACATTTTTTTCTTCTTTTGATCAGGAAATGAAGATTAGTCTAGTTATAAAAATATAATAGCAGATTCTCCACACCTATCACATGATTCTCCACACCTATCACATGATTCTCCACACCTATCACATGATTCTCCATACCTATCACATGATTCGCCACACCTATCACATGATTCGCCACACCTATCACATGATTCACCACACCTATCACATGATTTTAAAGACAAGAAGCATAATTTTTATCCACATACACTTTTCTTTTTCAATGAACAAACTGAAAGTCTAGAGGATTTGATACTAGACACTGCATTACCATGACTACCAAAAACATTTAAATAGAAGTCTCCAGGTAGTAGGTAGATAAACTGAATTACCTCCGGTAACTTTAGAGCACACAGTGTACAATTTCCTGGGACAAAAGAATACAGAGCACACAAAACAATCACACATTATTTTCACAATTTTTGGTTATTCAAAGATTTTTTCATTATCACCTCCTCCACCCCAACACATACATATGACACACATGCTGACACATGAGTAATGTCAATGCCAAGTGGACATATCTATTCATGTTTTAGAAATAATGTCTGAATCCTACCTTGGTCTACATGGTGTTCATGTTCTTCTTTTTCCTGTGCCTGTAACCTTTCATTGAGTTCTTCATTGACAATTCTCAGCTCTTCTTGAGTCTCTGTTGTAGCAGTCAGTAATTCCTGAGACTGATGCAACTATGGATTTCAAATATTGTCATGTGTCAATTGTAAACTTTATCAAAGAAAGCTCAGATAGAAAGGTATATTATATTTAACAATATTCAGAAACAATATTGTTTTGAAGAAATTTATTCCCATTTGACCCAAATGTTTTATAAAACCTGAAAGACAGTTTTAATTCCAAGATAATTGATTATTTTCACTGGCATTTAATTTCAATATTTTGATGTTTTGAGCAATTTCACTGGGTTCACAAACATGTTCATGCCCAACCAAAAGATTTCTTGTATTTTAAATTTTACAAGGCCTTAAAAAATGGTTAAGTTGGGTTGACATTCACAGCTATTTGGTAGTCTGAGCTCATACTACTTATACTGCCAAAAATAACTAGAATGATCAAACTCACTACATTATGCATAAAACAAAGTAAACCAATGTACCATGCCTTGATTCAGACAAAGTTCAAACGAATTGATGAAGCATGGAAGAACGTTTTTTGAACTTGGTTACACAAAGAGTTTTTTATTACCACAAAATGATATTGCTAAAAAAAAAAATGAAACTAGAACTTCAAATAAATTTGTACAACATAATAGTTGTTCTTACCTGCTGTGTGGTTGTAACAATCACATCCAGAAGTGTTTCCACAGAGCCTTGTAGACGACTGCCAGCACCTGATAAATACAATCTATTTGTTCAGCAATGCTGCAAACCTTATTTCACATGAAGGGATTGTGACAATCACAATTACACTATTTCAAGTCTATCTATTCAGAAATTTTGTATATGCAACCTCAGGAGAACTTCAAAACAGACGTATTAGTGCTTTGTGATGCAATTATCGTGCCAAAATGTTGGTGTAACATTATCCACAATTTCAAGGTTCATTTTGGAACAAATAGACATGATTGGCTGTTGCTACAAGTCATGCTAAAAATGTGATGAATACTGACTTTGGCCTTCAACTGGATAACAAAGTAGAGGACATGCGAGTCCTCATTTCCATCATTTAACGAGTTGCTGACAAAGTGACAAAATTAAAATCATTGAAATTTGAAAACTTACCTAAAACTATCTCTTCACCTTCAGGGCCAAGGTCAGGACCAACAAACATACTTTCGGTTAGCTGTGATATTTCTAATCCTTCGTCAGTAATTGACGTCACACTTGTATCTAACAGCGTGCCATCATCACTACCAAGGCCTTCCTTTTCCTGTGAATCACTATTAGCACCTTTAAACAAAACAATATTTAATAGTACTGTAGAATACTTTATTATAGCTAGAATTAAGTTTCGATGAAATGACTTTTTGATTGTTTTGTATGGAATTTATTTTCACTGATTTTTAACAAGTTGTATGTAAAATATAGGAAAAAAGATTATATTATTTTCACTGAATCATTCCTTCAGGGAAAATAGCGAAAATAAATTCCAAGTGAAAATAAACAGCATACTGATGATTGAAAAAAAAACATAGTAAAACTGATCCAGCCTTGCACTTAACAAGATCAACTTCATACTGTTGGATTTCTGTAGGGTATGTGCACACGAAAGAGCAGAATCGCAATATGGCAAGACAGGTATTAAATCGATGTGTTTTTGTTCATTATCAGAACCTTCAACTCCTCATAGAATGGGTGAAACAAGGCAACACACTCCATGTGCATATCACTTTCATAATTCAGACTGCAAACATTTTTCAACAGAGACGGCATGGTGACTCAGTTTCCCACCATGTTTAATGCAATATAACGAAAGCGTTGTAAATTACACACATGACAATGACGTGAATGAGCTAAACATCTTTTTTGTCAGACTCATTCAATTAAAATAGTGGTTGTATTTAATCATAATGCGAGAAAAAAAATGATGAGATTGGGCTATCATAATTTACCTTGCATTGCTGCCCCACTATCTGATTCATCAGGTCTGTCTGAGCCAACACCACTTTCTCTCTCTAGTGCAACAGCGCCTTCTATGTCAGGCCTGCTGTCAGGAAGTATGGATGCTAATTTTTTGTTGATCTTCTCTCCTGTTGCCAAGGAAACACGGACGGATTCAGTCATAACTCTGAGTAGGTGGTCATTGATACGTTGTGTAGTATCCCTGAGAACATAAAAAGTCATTGTGTAAGATGCAGACATAATGAAATTCTGACAACGATGAAAATCTACTACACATCAATCCTCGTACAAGTGATTATACTATACAGTGAATTTCATTCAGTTAATAAGCTAAATATTATAAACAGATTAGAGAACACCCTCTTACTGAACGAAGTTATTAATATAAAATAATACCCCCAAAATTTGAATTATTTGAATAAAAATCTGATATATTCACTGGCTAATTTTGCTTATTTCACTGACTGGAAAATGTACTTTAAAATTTAGCATAGAACACATAATCTAAAACCCACTGAATATGCCTGAAATGATAAATCAGCGAAATTTAAACCCAGTGAAAATTACTCATTTTACATTCATAAACAGGAATAAAGAAAGAAAATTCTAATCATTTTTGTAACTTGAAATGTTCACTAGAGGCATTTGTGAGAATGAAAGTTGCCACTGGTATATCATGGAACTAAATTGGTTTAAAGATTTACCTTTCTGTATTAAGTCTGTCTAAATCAGATCTTAACATAGCAAGTAAATTATCACTCTCTTCCATCTCTCGTTCTCTTCTATTCATTGTAGTGTCATGTTTCTCTACCTCCTCTTTCAGCCTTGTTTGTAGTTTCTCATTCTCATCTTTTAACTGAGGAAAGGAACAGAGGTCATTAAGAGGTCATGGATCACAGTGACAAGTGGAAGATGCTTTCTCATCGTGTACAACTAAAAGCATGTGTTACTTTCAACTCCTTATCATAGCCATATTTACTAATGTACAACCTGTAAAACACTGCTGATATGAACATATTGCAGAATTGATAATCAAGAGCATACTCTGACTCCATTACCTTGGCAACTATTTCTTGCTCTCTTTCTAACTGTTGTTGGAGCTGCTCAGATTCTTTTTGAATTCTACCAACTTCTATTTCATGTTCTTTTTTAATACTTTCAAATGCTGCATCTGATTCAGCCACATACTGCTGTTCCCTCTCCCTGGTCTGGTTCGCCATCTCATCTGAAAAGTTCAACTCAATTCATCACATTTAAACCTCTCGAAGGAGCCTTGCAGTGTCCATGACAAGGCAGGTCCACTAGACAACTCAACAAAGTCAACATGAGGCCATTTCTATCTTTTCATATTAATTTCTTGCAGTTTCAGTCAAAATTGATATGACATTAATCATAAAAATATTATTATTTAACACTTTAACATTTCTGTGAAAATGTGTGATAAAAGCCAGCAATGATTATGTAATATATATCTATGACAACAGCTTTTTGCTATAATCACTGAAACCATTTTACCATGAATGAATGCATGATATATTAACCTTGAGGCTAACAACTTGAAATGCAATATACACACAGAGTGTTCTCAACACAAATGAATGCATGAGATATAAAACTTGGCTAAAATAAGTGTCCCGATTTGATTCGTTTACATCCACATTGGTTGTTTAATTCATTAACATAGCGCACAGACACAGTAATGAAACTGTCAACTCGAATATTGATTATCTATGTTCAAAATTTCAAAACGTAACCAAAACATTGCATGAATTAAAATTGAATGGAACCCTACACTAATAAGGGAAACTCAAGCAGACATGATAAACGGAATATGTCAAAGCAGTTTAATACAAAACAATTAGAGTACAATATACATCGGGTCCCACTGCTATGTTATTAAGATGTATCAAATATCCCTGATGTAAGCTAATCAATCAGCAGACTATGACTAGACATTGTATTACCTAGTGAACTGAGCGTAATATAACATGGGTACACTACAATAATTCCAATTATTCACAAGGCTTATTTCACTGGCTAAAAGCTTTTTAACATGTTTTTTTTAGATTTATTTTCTTTGTATAAAAATTGTGTATTTAAGTTAAAATTACCTAAAGTATAATTATTTATTTATATCTCCTAATACAGAAAGAAGACGTCAGAAAATATCATATAAGCAAATCAGAATATCAATATTGTGGTTTGCAATAGCACAGCACACAATGAATGTATATTTGTTTCACCAAAGATTCAGATGGTCATACTGATTGTCCAGACAGCAGGAACTTAATGAATACATTTCTACTTTGTTAATGCACATTATCAACTTTCGGGTTTATACTCTTGAGAGAAAGGGGTTAAAATACTCTTGGAATAAATTCAAGGTTTCTACATGTGCAGTACAGACTTCTAGTATATATTATACGGTAGAATTTTAGGAATAAAAAAAAATGCAAGACTGAGTTTGATCAATGTGTGAAAATAAGAAGACTAAAAAACTAAAAGACCAAGTGTAATTGAATCAAAGATGTTCGACTTTCAATGAGTCAAACTGAAACATTCAGTCTGCCAAACACCAATTAGAAAACACAATTGAAACATTATGTACACATAGCACAAAGTTGTAGCATGTTTTGCAACAAATCGTGTAATTTATGTATTTGATATTCAAGAAATTAATTGTAACAAGAAGAACGTTTTTTTTTAGAGGTGATACTATTTCCGTTTTTAAGTGATATTAGAGTGTACAGTTGCATGTAGCTCTTAGGTGCCAAGAATAGAAATTATTGTTATACCGGTATTGCAAATGTGAATATTTAATATTTTTTTTATTTATTTAAAAGAAACACTCAGGTGAGGTTAGTTTTTTTTACACAGAAAATTCAGAAGAATTTCTAGTTGCTGCTCGCCAAATTGTCAGTTTCGACACTTTTTTCACCATAGGAGTTGAGGAAATGCACATGTTTGATCACATGTCAGTCAAATGTTGGTCACATGTGTGACACCTTATCCCCTAATCATGTCACCTACCTTTAATGCGACGATACTCTGAATGCAAAGATTCACGAAATGCTGTCATTTCTTGCTCTTTTTGACTTTCGTAATCACCTTCAATTTCTTCCAGAGTGTGTCTGAGTTTCTCTTCCAGTTCAGCTTTCATCTTCTCCATATCATCACTGTGTTTTTGTTTCAATGTATCAATTTCTTGCCTCTTGGCTCTTTCCAGTAATTCCATATCATCTGTGTGTTCAGCTTCTAATTTACTCTGCAATTCAATGATTTCTTGTCGATGTACTTCTTCCAGATCAGACTTTGCAGCGTCCACTTCTCTCTGAGTGTCCATGTTGACAGCATCAACTCTGTCATCGTACTGAGATCTCACCTTCATTTTCTCTGCTTTGATTTTCTCAGTGTAAGATTCCTTCAGCTCAGCAACTTCAGTTTCATGTTTCTCAATAAAATCCTTCAAGATGTCTTCCCTGTCAGCCACGTCCTTTTCCAGTTCCTCAATCCTTGTCACATACTCTGCTTCTATGTACTCTTTCACACCCTCTTTTGTAGCTTCAATTTCACGTTGATGTGCAGCCTCTAACTCATTAGTCACAGCACGGAACTTCTCCATATGAGAAGCAGTAAGTTCTTCTTTCACTCTTTCTTCCTGCAGTTCTAACTCTACAAGATGTTCTTTCTTCAGCTTCTCCAACTCATTTTTATGCACATCAAACTCATTCACCTTTTCTTTGTCCATCCTCTCTTTCTCCTCATTCAACTTCTGCACCAACTCAACTTTTAAATTCTCAATCTCTCGACAGTGCATCCCTTTCAACATCTCAATTTCATTCTGATGCTGTTGCTGTAGAGCCTCTCTAAGATTCACAAGATCAGATGCATGTACTTCTTTGGCAGCCATCACTTCTGTTTCTTGCTCCTCTACAAACTTATCTAGTAAAGTCTGATGACCTTGTAGGTGATCTGTAGCCTGTTCTTGCATAGTTTGAATTATACCTTCATATTCCTGTGTTATTTCAGTCTTTATCAGCTCTACCTGGCTGTCATATTGCTTTTCTAAACGCTCTTTCAACAGAGCAATTTCAGGATTCTCGCCTCTATCAATACTATCTTTCAGAAGGCTGTATTTAATTTTTTCTTCATCAAGCTGCTTTTTAAGATTCTTCATTTCATTCTCATGTTTTTGCTGCAACGTGACACAGGCATCCTCTTTGTCAATTTTAGCCTTCTCGGCTAATTCTTGCTCGAGACTTTTCAGTTTCTCGTCCATCTCAGTCAAGATCCTTTCTCGCTCTATCTCAAACTCTTTAGACATTAATTCCAATTCTTTGCTCTTCTGCATTTCAAGGTTCATTTTCATCATCTCCATTTGCTGTGCATTCTCGATAGCTAATTCACTTCTGACATGTGCCACTTCTTCAATCAACCTGTCTTCCGCTCTCTGGTTCATTTCTTCAATTTTCTCATCTAGTTCTTTCTGACATTCCGCTTGTGCTCTCTTTACTTCCACTTGCTTCTGAATATCAAAATCAGCTTGCATAGCTCCTACTTCCATCCTGTGTTCATGACCCAGCTCATCTTTGATCTCAGACAGCTCTTCCTTTTTAGAAAACTCCATCTCACTTCTCAAGTTCTCAACTTCGGTTTCAACCTGTCTGGCAGCATCAGCCGCAGACACCATCCGGAGTCGTGTAACTTCCTTCAAATGAATGTCAGTCAGATACTGCTTCTCAGCTTCTAGCTGCTCGAGATGCGACTGTTGCAATTTGGAGAGTTCTTGTTCATGCCTGTTATTCAGCTCATCTTTACAACTCTTAATGTCTAGTTCATATTTTAACTCCATCTGTGATTTTAACCTGTAAATTTCAGCTTTGTGTTCACTTTCCAACTCAGTCTTCATCTTCTCCAAATCTATTCTATACTTTTCTCTCAGTTTCTCATCCATTCCCTGCGTCAAATGCTCTCCACTCTCCAACATCTTGTAAGGTGATGGAGGAGGTGAACTCTCAGCATCCGATATGGAAATTTGTGTAAACGTGTATTGCTGATGTCGTGTCAAAGCTGAAATCTCAAAATTCTCAGTTTCAAGACCATGGTCATCCTGTTGTTGTCGCTCAATATCGTCAAGATGCTCTGCTTTCACCCGATCCAACTCCTCAGCCCAACTCTTCTCAGTTTCCTCCAATTTCTCCTCAAAAAATCCCCTTAATTTTTCCATTTCCCGACCATGTTCCTTCTCGCTCTTCTTCTTCTGTCTACCAATTTCCTGTCGTAGAGCTTCTACCTCTTCTAGCAAAGCCTCGTGCTCCTCGATGTCAACCTGGTCAACCTTATGTTGGAGTTCCGCAATAGTCTGCAAGTGTTTGGCATTTGTTTCCTCATGTGCTTTCTTTGCAGCTACTAAGTCATCCACCAGTTCTTGATGGCTTGCATTCATATTGACTCGCATCTCTTGCATTTCCTGGTTGTGAATTCGGGCCAGGTTTTGTTGCACCGCTGAAGTGAATTGAGAGAAATAGACAGATTTGTACAATACTACAATACAGCATGTAGTCAATCACTCTGAGATACAAGAAAGTTAAGAATAGTAGCCAGAAACACTCATTAGTACTATATATAGTTAGAAAGGTTTAAGGTTTAGTAACCAAGCTCTTGGGGAAAAAACTACAGGTTCATGCAAATACCTTGTGGACAAACAAGACAAACATGTGGACCATCAACAGACAGACAATCAGACCAAGACAACTGACCACAGACGAGATCACTGACAGATCTGCTAGGGCAGATAACACTACTGACAGATGACATCTGCTAGGACAGATAAACACTGACAGATGACATCTGCTAGGACAGATAAGACCACTGACAGATGACAACAGGACAGACAAAACATTTGAATATGTATGGTTGAGCATGATGTACTAAGATGACTTTTAAGAGTTTTTTTGACATGTGCAGGCAGGGATATGTTAATTGTTAGTGAGGCATTATGGGTAAATGAATATCAGAGATCATTATCACCATGATTTAGTTATAAATTATATAATTGCGGAATGGATGAGATTATGATACTAAATAAATAGATCATGTGATCCACCATTAACACTTCACAGCTTACAGGTTTTATTTTTTTAATAGAATCTTGTTTCATTATTTCTACATTTTCTATCATGTTCAGTTTAATTACACCAAGCTGATTTTTGTGTCAAGTTATAGTGTGTATGTGGGAACACACTACAACAGTTTCAATATGTTTCAATTTTATGTCTTGAGTCACAATTACAGTTTCTTGGATTCCTGCAAGTCGCAGTAATGCTGCATCATGAATAATCCTATACATCAAATTGACTTGGAGGGCGCTATATAAAAGAGTTAATGTGGAACATATACTATTAAACAGACTGACACAAATATTGACAAATACTATGCTTGCCGCACTAACTTACCCTCAGCTTCTTCTAGCATCTTCTGCCTTTCCTCCAAAAGTAACTCCACATCACTTTTTTGTTCCTCCTCAGTTTCAGATTTATTTTTCTTTTCTGCTATTAAGGCATCGTTTTTAGTTTCAAGTTCCTTCGTTAATTCCTAAATAGAAACAAGTAACCAAACATTATTATAAATCTTGAAATAAAACATAAGGTGATGTGACCAATTGCAAATATGAGTTATTAGTTTATTTCTCCATATTTCGCTTTAATGTTAAATCCTAATTGATTGATCCATTACACTATTATTACCATGTTATGACAGTGTAGATCAGAGTGTACTCTCAAATGATTCTGTACGATTCTGGAGTCAAAATACAAATACCAAAAATCATTTTCACAGATAAGCATGAAGCAGAAGTTCTCAGTCAATAAATATAGATTGTAGACTATAAAGTAAGACGTGAATTTTTCTCTTAGATCACAGGAAATCTGTACATCATTGATGTGTCAATACTGATAAGGACGATCAGATCAAATCAGACAATTATATTCTAAAATAAAGGAAGTCCTACCTCCATAACTTTTTTGTGATTGTTCCTGAGCTCTTCCAGCTCTTGCTGTGACCTTTGAGTTATTTCATCTGAAAATAATACCATATATACAATCACTGACTTGCATATTAGTTTTGTAACAGACCCATATCACACAGATTGACCCACACACTGTTTATTATAGCGGTTGCAGAAAATTGTTAGCACAATTTAAATGCCAAATGTCACATCAATCAACTTGAGTTCAATGCGTATAATACTATATTACAGGAGGCAAACACAGCTGATCAACATGTAGTG